CGTCGTCGAATTGACATAAAGCGGAATCCGTAAGATGCTTTGACCTCGGCCAGGTCATGAATCAAAAACTTGTATGATGCACGAGTTTACAACAACAAATTGGGATGAAGATCTCACCCAATAAGTAGTGAAAAATAATGCAACCTTGGTATATCACTCATCAAGTACGAGGGTGAAGTATATCTAAATAACTCGGATTTGAAACTCAGCAACTTAGGAATTCCAAAAGCTTGGGACAAATCCGAGTATGAAGGGGAATGCTACCTCGTAAAGGGGCTTATGTGTATGCCAAGAATGGTTAAGTCATATCATTCGATAAAGCAAAAAAGAGTTGCCTAAACAAAAAAGCAAAAGCATTACTGCAACGACATGCTCAATTCTGACAAATCAACAACCTAGATAAATGCATCTACGATGAATTCGGAATTAGGAGATGCAAAACGACATATCATAAGGCAAGATATTCAACGCGAAATTGTATGTCAAGGAAACAAAATTAAAACCGGGATAAAACCGGCAATATTCAGGATGAATCAAAAAGGGACCCAAAGGATCCCAACAAGTTACAAATCCAACCGGCATTCCGGCCCTTCATTTTGTCGGGCTGACAGGATGATCTTCTAGCACCACAACCTCCTTGCCGGATTGGTTGGTCGATTCAACTTCCTTTGCGGGTTGGTTGGTAGCCTCATCACCATCCTCGACGGCAGCAACTTTTTCGGATTGTGAAACCGAAACACGGGAAGGAGAGGCGGCAGCTGGAAACATGATTCGGCCATCAACAACATAGGCACGAGGGCTTAGGCCCACCACATTCAAAAGCAAATCTGGGTTCAGAATTTGCAGTTGGCTTAATGCATAATAAAAGGAACCAGTGATGGACTTTTCAAGTTCACCCCGGTAGAGTTGAGCTTCGTCCTGAGCTTCACTCAATTGGGCCCTGGCTTCCTTCAATTTGTCCTGTGTTAACTTCATTTCCCCCTCTGCCTTCTCATACGTGATTTTGAAATCACTCAAACTCTTGCTGTTGCAGGCATGGAGATATTGAAGCATCTCATGATCGCTTCGAAGTTGTATTAAGGATGCTTGTGCTTTTCCCAAGTCAGACGAATTTTGGGTATATTTTTCCTTCATCGATGAAAAATCTTCTTTCACCTTGAGCAACTCGGCAACAGTCTTTGCTTTTTCTTCCCGAGAGGCAGCAGCCTCATCAAGAGAACGAAGATACTTACGCTTCAACGAACGTAATGATCTCGTTAACCCAGACAACTTCAGGCCACCGAGCTCCAGATCATCCAATACCTTAATTTCTTCAGCTGTGAAAGGGTTTGCACTGGAGAATGACTCAGGCGGACAAACTGCCTCTCGAATAGCATCAGACACCCCGGACTGCCATACGGCATGCTTGGCCAAACCAGAACGCGAAGTAGGAGGGGCTTCCATCACTTGCCGAGGAGGGGATGGAGGAACATTTTCGGTGGGGATCTCCTTGCCTTTGTTCCTAACTTGCCCTTTTTCTGTCACCTTGGCTTTTGTCTTGTTGACAGCATCCTTGTGCGGATTCAGCTCTGACATCTTCCTCTTTTTCCCTAACCCGGGGGAAGTATCCTTCTGCAACAACCCGGAGGTAGACTCGTTCTTTCCCTTGGTCAAGGCGGCCAACCAGCTTGGAAGAGCGTTTGGTTGCTTTTCCATTTAGGGAACTGAAAAGCAAAATAATGAAATCAGCTGTTAAGCGCAATATAAAGCACTTCAATATAGCAATCAGACATACTTAATTCGGCATCAAGCTCCTCTTGAGACTTATAAATGAGAGACGCAACGCTAGCATGCTGATGCGTCTGAAGATATGTATAGATGGCGATCACGGTATTAATATCATTGGAGTCTAACTGGGATTCTTTAAAGCGGTAGCTGGAAGGAGGAAATTGGAAATGATCGGATGACCAACATAAGGGAAATTTTCCCTCTACATCCTTCGTGCCACAGTATTGGAGAAACCATACCTCCTTACCGGGATGCGCGCACACCTTAAAGAACTTGTTTTTAAAACCTTTAAAAGACTCCGTGTAGACCTTAAAGAGTCTACGGCCAGGGACACCTCGGACAGTGATCCATCCTTTCAGTTCTGGTGGTTGGCGACCAGTTCGACAAGAGATAACTTGAAAGAAGAAAAAGAAAACCATAACGGAAGGACGAAGAACAAGGTAGGCACAAAACCGCTCAAAGGCCTTAACGAAACCCCACCCGTTGGGATGGAGTTGTGTAGGGCATATGTGAAGATGATTGAGTATCTCTATTTGAAATTCGGTCAACGGGAATCGGAGTCCGAGTTGAGTAATGAAATCCCGGTAGAAGAAAAAGAAGCAAGGACCCTCTTCAGTTCCGCCAGAACATACGGGTTCGTCTTCTACAGGAGCTACGATGTCAAAATTTTCAACCGACCCGACAGAAAGTCTAGCCACGTCCTCCGCAGAAAGTTCGGGCGTGGTATTCAAAACCTCATGAGTCACCTAGGGAAACTGGGATGTCAATGAGGCTGGCGGAGACCCACAATGTGACTCGGCAGAACCAGATTCCTCTACTACCTCTCGAGGGGGAGATGCCATAAATGCATAGAAAAACAAAAAAGTTTAAATCAGAAGGAAAGAATGGATATACCTGCATCAAAAATACTAGAAGATGATGAGTCACTAGAAGATGAAGAGCTGGGCACGTCAGAAATAGTAATCGGATCATTGGCCCCACCAGGTGCCGACATCGATCCAACAAAAATTCCATGCCGGCAACTTTCCAAAGTGGACTCGGCCAACGAGTCACATCCTTGCGCGACAAGCTTAGAACTCAGATAGACGCAAGAGTAACAGGGGACACCTCCTGAGACAGAGGAAGGATAGGGCAAAGCACGGATTTTGGAACGTGAACCCGAAGTGGTCATGGGTTGAGAAGACGGAACTGAAGGACTATTTTTTATGATACACTTATCCCGGGAAGAGCAACCTCTACCCCGGTGAGACCCTAACTACCTATTCGACACCATGGCCCTTCGCCGAGATCTACCACCACGGCAACCTCGAAGCATAGCTTCCTGCTCTTCTTCTTCAGTCCTGGGAATCCCCCAAAGCCAAAAACGAGCACCTGGAGGAATCTTTTTGAAAAAATCAGGGTCTTCCTCCCTCTGCCCTTTAAAACACAGAGCTGAAGAAAAAGAGTTTTCCCCCCTCATTTGGTCAAAAATTGAAAAACACTAAATGTCAAATAGCAAAGGGAGGAGGAGGAGGAGAAGAGCAAGATGATGACCATCAACATGACAGGAGGGAACATACAACTTCTGAAAATATGTGACTATGGAAGTTTTTCACAGGTTCTGGAAAAATAGTAAAAATCGACGATGGAACATATACATCTTCAAATTTAAAAAGCATACTAGCAAGCAAATGTTAAAGCGCAGAGTCGCACAACAGAATCACAAAAAACTGAAAATATGTGCAATACCTGTTGAAGGAAGATGAAGAACCGAAGCAGAAATGGTGCACAACACTCAGAAGACACGCACACGAAAACAAACAACTAACGCTGGTGCACAATGCTCAAAAGCGAAACGAAAGCATGTAAGAGGGAAAGATGGCTTATATAGCCAAGCAAGTGACCACTGAAGTGCGAATAGCAAAGGTCAGGGTTATTTAGGTCCTTTCACCCTCAACTCATAACTGCCACGATCGTGGGTGGAAACCGCAATCATCATGCGCGAAAATCACAGCGCAGAGGAGGCTAGGGGGCAAGGGCAAAACTGCCACTTCACACAAAAAATGATTAGACAACTGAAGCGATGCTGCAATAAATGCGCACGAAACGCAATGACAGCATAAGAACGGCTGCAGCACGTTAAAGCACGCGGACTGGAACACGTGGCACAGCGCAATGAGTATAGTTCGCAAACCTACATATGAGACAAGGTGTATATGAACATACAGCTGTTCACCGAGTTCGGAGCTGACGCTGGGGTAATAGTCAACTCATGGTTATTTCAGCACAGCTTCTACCCGGCTACACAAGGAAGCAGCAGGCATGCATGCATGCCCTAATAACCCGGGTAAAACGCCGACGCGGGTTCTTCATGAAAATACCGACGGGATCATGCACAACCGTTGACCAAATAAATATGCAGATACATTCCAAGATGAGGAATACCGCTTGGGGGCAACCCGCAAGTAGGATTAAACAACTCAAGCGTATTCCTAACTCGGAGTAGCAATATGGTTGATGCTCAACCAGCAAGGCAAAACGAGGGAAATGGCGCTGCACATAGGGAAGATAAGAACCCGAAAGCAACATGTATGCCGACATTAGGAGGCAACCCGACAGATCGACATTGTACCTGGCCCAAACATTGGGGGTACGCAAAGTATCTCACCGGATTGATGCTCAACCCGTCGACATAAGGGGGCAAAGAACATCCCGTGAGAAAAAGAATTCCCTCGTAAGCGGAGCATGCAAGTCTGCAAAAGCGCAAACACATTCGGGAGTAAAAAACTGGAAAAGAGGCATTCATAAGTTCATCCTGACTACTCGGATACCCAGGTAGCCCGGCTGAGGGGCAACTGTTATGGACCCGTATAATGGGCCCATTAAGTAGCAAGCCCAACAAGGGGCAATCCAAGATATGGATTGATGCTAATCAAGGATACTAATCTTAATGTGACAGCATAGCTATCAGGGTTGGACCCTCACCATAGGCCCATCCACACTACATACAGGTAACCTCTATAAATACAAAGGCAAACCCTAAAGGTACACACATTCTCTCTCTTATTGTTATGCTGTCACTGTGTGCACACACACCCCATTGGCTAACGTCATTTAGTACTCTGTGCGCAATGATCTGCTTGACTCAAGGGTATCTCCCTCATAGATACCTTGGAGAGGGCACCAGATCCAACATTAACGTACTAGCCTAATTGGGCTAGACATCTCTGTCTCAAGGACAGAACAGTCCTTGAGTTGTATAAATGCAAAATGCACATTAATACATAATTAGGGTATTGACAAGAATCATGTGCCTAAGATTTTTTTATCTGGGCAGCTGATAAATGTTTCGAGAACTAAAGGAATATAATTAGCATTGATCATCAACATCTCCAGCCTTTGGAATCTTGGGGGAGGGGGGGCCCTTCAAACCATCGATCCCACAAAGGATTTAAGGGACCAATTGTTCTGTCAAACCAGGAAAATGTATATTTTGTTAGAAAAATATATGAAAGATAACATGTGGGTGCAACGTAGATATAGGAAGTTCTGAGAAGAGATTTTACAATGGTAGTAACGGATCAGGTCTTGTTTCCACATTACTGAACATTCTAGCAAAACAAACACGGGATGGAAAATAAAAGTTAAAGTAACATTGTGATTATGCATGATAGAATCACTTTTTGCTATTAAGCTTACTCTTTGCACGATGTAGATGCCTTCTCCATCCTTTCAAGTTGTTCCAGCTCTTCCTGCATTTGTTTTATTAGTGAATATTAAAACACTTGTAACACAAGTTTGGAAACAAGAACTAAGCATGTCATTGAAAAGACAGGCTATAAACCACAATTAGCCTCCCCATCAAAAGCTTATCAAATGGCTGCCTAGATATCCCATATTTTTTAATTTTTAAAGTCAAGAGTTTGGACACAGATTATGCATGTGTAAAGAGTCAAACGAAAAATAGCTTAACAGATTTGATAAGGATTACTAGATCCTATCCATCATTCATAATGATTTGCTTTCATTTTAGCTGCAAGTTTAGTGAAAATAACAGCAAAGGAAACATGAGGCGAAAATTAAGTAATTAACTCCATGAGAGAGCATATAGAGAGCCAAGGTTAGTTCACGTTATGATATCATTAATCTTAAAAGCAAAATGCAAATACTAAACAAGAGAATGATTCAATACCCATATGCGTTTCTTCTCGTTCCTCCTCTTGACGCTACCTTCATCGGGCTTATTCGGAAGTATGGGTTCCCCGTGACCAGAGAACTGCGAAGGTGTGTGTGTGGTTGCCACAGATACGCCAGAAGAAGAAGAAATCGGATCTGCAATGGAGGTTACCAGAGAAATTAGGGATTTAGGTTTGAGAAAAAAAAAAAAAAAAAAACATTAGTAATTAATATTTAACACTGTAACACTAGCGCAAGGACATCAAAATCCCAATTTTTCTTTTTCTTTCAGCCTCCAATCCTTCCTTACTGCGCTGCCTCTTTCGTTTCTCTTTCATATAAATCTCCGTAATCTCCTCAATCGATTGGAGAAGAAAATTCACGCGCTTCTTGTTTGGTGGCAGCGGCAGCGAGGGACTCGGGGCGGTACCAACCACCACACTCGGCAACGATCGCCGCCGTGGAGTAAATAAACCAACAGGTGACGGGACGTGGAGAAGAAGCGTGGCCATATAAAACGCGCGCTTCTTGTTTGGTCGCAGCGGCGGCGAGGGACTCGGGGTGGTACCAGCCACCACACTCGGCGACGATCGCGGCGGAAGAGTACAGAAATCAGCAGCAGGTGACGGGGCGGTACCAGCCACCACACTCGGCGACGATCGCGGCGGAGGAGTACAGGAACCAGCACGTGAGGATGGCGAATCCATCACTGTTTTGAATTATATTAAAAAAAAAAAAACCTGAAAATAACTACAAATAAGAAAATAACAATTATAGACAGAATCAAAAATCAAAGACTGGAACAAATTGAGAGAGAAAGAGAGTTTTCGCATCAATTGCAAAGATGGGGAATAGCGTAGGAAGAACGCAGAAATGGAGCGCGTGGGAAGAAGACAGAAGTGAACAGTATAGCGGGTAAATGCTGTAACTTTCTCCTATATTATATAAAAAAAAAAAAAACAATCTAAATAGAAATTTGAAATAGCCTAAGAAAAACGCAGGGCGAGGTCGGCGCGAAATCAAATTTTCGCTGGTAAAGACCGTTGCTATCTTTATATAATATACAAAAATTAATAAATAATGTAAATGCCAAATTTTAGTTGAAAATATTCTTGTCTAAATGTAATAAGAGTTGACTTTTTCTATTGTCGATGTAGATAATTTATCTACATTGGGCACAAAATGATGTCATTGAGGCAGAAATCAAGATATTTTTGATTTTTTATAATTATAATTTATTTCAAAGTTATAATAGTCTTTTTCATTATAATTTTTTAATCCACGAATGTAAATAACTTATCTACATTCATTCTAGAAACATTAAAGCCATATATTAACATCGTCATGTCTTTTTTTTTATTTTGGGATGGTAAAAATTTAAATCATTTTAATAAAGAATATTTGTTTAAAAGATAAGCTTGTTTCAAAAGTGATTAAGAACTTGTTTGACACATTTTTTATATTAAAATTACTTTTATGTTGAAATTAAAAATAAGAATATAAAAAAAATTAAAAGATATATGGTAATTATATATATAAATTTAATTTATTTTATAAATTAAAAATTAAAAAAATTATTTATTAAAATTATTTTTATATTTAAAACCAATATAATATTTAGCTAAATATGAAAATGATAAAAAAAATGAAAAAAGTTCTTAAACAATAATAAATATAATATATTTATAATTAAAATAAACTTATTTATAGGATTAAACTTATATATTAATATATCAATTATAAAAATATTTTTTGTTTATCATATACTTATTTACATAAACAAAATAAATTTAGAAAATTTTAATATAATAATATTTTAAAATAAATATTTTTGATATATTTACATTTCATTCCTCTTAATATCTTGGATTTTAAGAATCTGATTATATTCACTTTAGTTTCTTATTAATTTTTCCCAACGTTTTTCGGGTCTATCTCCTACAATGTCATGTAAATAAAGTTTCAATTATTTACATCCCAAATCATATAACTCTATAATTTTTACTTGGCAAAGACTTTATGATGAAGTTAATTTCTAACTATCATTTTGACCCCTACATTCGGTTATACTCTTCCAACTACCATTAATATATTGAAGTTTATTATTTTATTCATTACGAAAAAAAACTCTTTTCAGTGATAATGGCTTTCATAAAAAATGCAGACTAAAGAAATTAATTTAAAAGATGAACTTGAAATTATGAATAAAAGTGTAGTTAGGGTAATAAAAAAAATGCAGTTAGATTTACTTCACCTCTGATTACCCTTAATTGGTTTAAACTCAATTCAATAATTTCTATCTCTATTGTTCCAAACAATTCATATCTAAAATATAATTGGTTAAATCTCTAATGTCTTAGTTGTTTAACCCTTTAACCTAATCAGAATCCTAATTTGATAATTTCTTAGAAACCCTTTTTTTTAGATTAAGCCTTAAGTGCAATGAATTTTACAAGTTTGCAAATCCGACAAGTCTATGTCTAGAATATATAAAAAAATGATGTTTATCTCTATCTAGATTAAAATCCAAATTTCTCTATTTAGAACTCTCTTTATTTCTATATGATTGACCAAGTCATGCAATAATTTAAACAAGTAATGGAAGATAAACAAATAATAATTTGAGACATATTCAATACCAATATATAAATCATTTTAATAATGAATATTTGTTTAAAAAATAAGCTTGTTTCAAAAGTGATTAAGAAATTGTTTGACATAATTTTTTATATTAAAAATTACTTTTAAGTTGAAATTAAAAATAAGAATATAAAAAGTTAAAGATATATGGTAATTATATAAATAATTTAATTTAATTTTTTAAATTATTAATTTAAAAAATTATTTATTAAAGTGATTTTTATAAGCTTTATTTTTATAATTGAAAATCAGTATAATATTTAGCTAAATATGAATATGATAAAAAAAATGAAAAAAATTCTTAAGCAATAATAAATAATTATATAATAATATATTTATAATAAAAATAAATTTATTTGTAGGATTAAACTTATATATTAAATTATTAATATATCAATTATAAAAATAGTTTTCAAATATTTTTTATTTATCATATGCTTATTTATATAAATAAATAATTTTAGAAATTTTTTAATATAAAAATATTTTAAAATAAATATTTTTAATATATTGACAATTTACTCCTCTTAACGGATTTTAAGAATTTGATTGTATTCAGTTTCGTTTCTTATTAATCTTTTCCCAATGTTTTTCTGGTCAATCTCCTATAATGTCATGTAAATAAAATTTCAATTATTTATGTACCAAATCATATAACTCTATCATTTTTTACTTGGCAAAGGCTTAATGATACAGTTAATTCCTAACTACCATTTTGACCCGTACATTCGGTTACATTCTTCCTAACTTCCATTAATATATTGAAGTTTATTATTATGTTCATTACGAAAGAAATTTTTTTTATGATAATAATTTTTATAAAATATATTTGGTTAAGCTTTATCTTTTAAACAGAAGATAAGCTAAAATAAGACCCGCCAAACAAATAAATAAAAGTGGATTCACCTTATATATTTAAAAATAAATTCACTTTGTCAAAAGTTTTATAATTATGATTCTAATTTATAACTTTTCCAAACCTCAATGCATTTTTTGGATAGTTGTTATTTTCTGTGTGATTTAATACAGAAAAAGTTGTAACAAAATAATTTAGAATCTTATGTATAAGCATATTAAAAAAAACCACAGGAGTAAGAGTTTTATTTTTTCGTTTTACATAAGAGTTTAGGTTAGGGGAGTCATGCCCCAAGAAAAGCCATGAAAAACCAGCAACCTCATTGAGAATTTAAAATGAGAATATAAATAGCCTACCAAAGAGGGAAAACTCATAATCGAAACCAAGCATGACTAGCATCGGTGGAAGGTTTGAATAATTGTGCCAACCCTCATTGGTGGTACTAAGAGCTTTTAGTTACCAAAGAGTTTAAAGAAAACAAAATTTAAATTACAAATCTAATCTCCAAATCATTGTCAACCTTCATGAATCATGGTTTCCATTTTTATATGACATGTTATTTGTGGATATCTTTAGAAAGTGTTCAAGATGAAGGAGAATGTTAGAATTACATATACCTTATAATGATCATCTTAGTTGATCAGTCCAAAAAATGTTAGGCTTGACCACACAAGGTTAAGCATGGTCCAAGTGGTGCCTGAAGTGAGACTGCAACAGGATCTATTGGGCTATGATACAAGGTGATTCCATGGGATAACTGCATATGCAAAAATAGTCTCTCAATGATGATCACCATGAATTATGTGTAATCTGATTTAAATTGAGTATAATTCGCGCTTAGAAACTTTCAACAAATATTCACATATGAGTTTAATGGATATATGTAATAACTCGCACCGTTGAATTGAAATTTTAGAAATATAATAATATTTAAATGAGGAGTATTAAATGGAAAATTTAATTATTTTAATAAATTTAAGTAAAACACCTTTTTGAGAAAGAGGTCAATATTGAGCGTTTCGCGGTAACAATGCAGTGAGCAAAATTATCCGAAACTATGGGTGTTCATCAACCGATTCAAACCGCGGTGACCGAACCGAAAAATTGATAACCGAATAAACCGATAACCGAAAAACCGAAAACCGATTAAAAACCGCAAACTTTAATTGAATTAGATCAGTTTTTGGATGGGTTGATGAAAACCGATCCAATCCAAACCGATCCAATATATTAATTCCTCTCTACCTACTTGGGTCTTTTTCTAATTATAGCCTAAAAATTTCTAAACTCAAGACCCATTAACCCATCAACTAAACCCAAGAAAAAATCTAGTCACATTTCATCAACAAAATTTTATCTTTATAAAGCTTCATATCTCATTGCAAAAAAAAAAAAACTATATTATAGTTTATTAATGCTTTTGTATTTCAAAACAAATAAATTTACAAAACCAAAATATACAAAAGATGTTATTTGTACAATAATCATGAAATAAATTTTAGGATTTTCAAAAAACTGAAAATCGATCCAATCCAAACCGAAAAAAATTGGATTGGATCGGATCAGATTTGAAAAAAAATCAAAACCGAATGGATGATTATATGATCAAACCGAAGGGATTGGATCGGATGATTTTTGCTTCCAAAACCGATCCAATCCAGACCGCGAACACCCCTATCCGAAACTTAAAGATAATTAGTGATTATTATTCCATAAATTTTATGGAGTTAAAATGACAACAAAATATTTATGTTAATATTAGTAGAAAACTATAATTATTTAAATTAAATCACTTTTTAGTGAAAAAGTGTGGATACTGCGTGTTTTGGGGTAAAATGCAAGAAGACAAAAGTATCAAAAACTTAAAAGAAATCAATAGTGATTTTAGGAATTATTTAATAATTTAATATTTAAAGTGTGATAATTAGAATGAAATTCTAATTATTTAAATTATGTCACCTTTAAGTGAAAAATGAGAATACTGTGTATTTCGCGGCAAAGATGTGTACCGACGAAATTAGCCGAAAACTTAGAAATAAATTAATAATCATTATTCATAAATGTTAGTGAGATAAAAATAATAAGAGACACCTATGTTAAGCTAAGAAAATAGTTAATGTGAGGATTAACTGAGTTAGTGTATATAAGAGTAATGGGACCCATTTAAATGACAAAAATACACTTTTTCTCTCTTTGTCATTGTATTCTCTCATTTCTAAAGCCCTAGAAGACAAATCCACTACTCTCTGCCTTCTCCCATTCTCCATGAAAACTCATGTCTTTCTTCATAAAACCATGTCAAAACTCCATATTTCCTCCCTTCTTTTCTACACTATTACATTAAACACTTGAAAGCTTGTGTCTCAAGGGAGAAATTAAAACTCATT